CATCCTCCAATCCCAATTTGGTCTATCTCACCAGTGTTTAAATTTTTTTTGGACAACATTCCCAGACAGACCAGCATCAAAGGAGCAGGTTGCATGACACTTAAAGTCTTTGAACTGTGGCAGGAACAGATTCACGTGCAATTATGCATACATGAATCAAGTTATTCCACACATTGTGTAAATTAAAGTGAAAAAGCAAATATAAAAGCTATTTAACCTGAACGCCAGAGCCCTCGCACCATCATGACCAGTCAGCAATCTGCAAATTGATGCATCCACGGACCTAACAATGTCCCCCACCCAGCTACTTCCCAGTGTGTACAAAATAATTAAAAGTTCATATTTTTTTACATGGCAAAATATCTGAATAGTGTGAGGAGGTAACCCACACCCACCACATTTTATATATATATACAGTACCAGTACCTCTTAAGGTGTAAGGGTAGATAACAATGATGCATGAAACTAAATAAGAAAATACTTCACACTACAGCACAATGCAATACAAATTTAGATTTTATGCATCAATAGTATATGAAAGTGGCATGCTATTCAAATTAGTCCTAAATATCAATATACTGTACTATAAATTAAATACAGCATGTCCACCAAACCTCAAAAAGAGAATGCAGAATACAGCACAAAAAAAAGATTTGCCTGCAAAAATCCATATATAGCAATGAGAGGAAGACGTAAACAGGTGTTGAAGATACTGTACAGTACTGTACCAGGCACAAACTTGTGTCTAAGAAATGATTCAGTCTCTGTACTTACCATGTAGAGTGAATGTGACAAAAGACAAACAACACAGCATTAGTATAAAAACCATAAGCCATGCAAACCCTTAAAATATAAATAAATCATGCCTTTGTCACTGCTTATTTTAGTAAAAATATTTGTAGATACACACAAAAGTGCTGTACCTAATAAATATTACATTGCAAAATTGCAGGTAAATTGCAGGTAAATGTAATTGCAGACAAAATTAACTGCAACATGCAATTAGCCACAGTCTTGTAAATGGTAGACTTCTGCATGAAAATGTCATTATCATAATTATAATACAGTAATAACAAAGAATTCACAAACGCTTAGGCAATTAAGTTAACAAGGCAAAACTACATCAATAACACTAACAAATTTTATATTTTATTCCTATGTAGTGTTATTTACTTATTCCTTATGCCTCCAAAGTATAGAAAATGGCTATTATTCCCTACAGTTTGCTTTTGTGACTAGGACAGTGATATTCTGAAATTTACCCATTTTCTAAAACATTCCGGATAAATTCAGTGCCGAGTAAACTTGGCGCAGTAATAAAAAAAAAAAAAAAAAAAAAAAAAAAAAGATAGAGAGCCATTTTCAATATTTTTCAGTTGTAAACAATTAGGAAATAACACTACTCAGGAAGAAAAATTATTGTAACATTGTGTACTTCAGTATATGAAATGGACACAAAGATTTTAACCCTTAAACTGCGCAAAACGTCATATGATGTGTGACATTGAACTCAGTTTTTAAATTTTCTGAAACTCTTTCAAATGTTTTGTGCATAATCTACTAGGCAAAGGCTCCAACTTTGTCTAAATGATACCAGTGTAACTTGAAAAACAAGAAAATAAAAAATAATTATAAAATTGAATATTGAAAACTTCAGATTTTGAAATCAGCTGCAAAAATATAAAAAAATCAACTGTTCATTTGGTGTTATTATGCTCTCAGAATAGCATATGATCTTCATTTTCATATAGTTAGAATATAGGTTTTCAGTATAGTTTACTGTAAAAAAAATTTGTCAATATGGCATTTGAAATACAGTAGTATGCGCAAATTTAGACAACAAAAATTTATAACTCCAAACGTTTAGAGTTTATGACAAATCAATTTTATAGGGATTGTAGAACAGACAGCTGTGCACAATATATGTAAAAATGGTGAGAATTGGTCAGAAACTAGATTTTGGGATACTGAAGTAAGTTAAAATTCTAGTTATAGATATAATTGAAGTTGAAGTTATTGACAATGAATAAGGCAGTTCTAATTCATGAATTTATTTGTATGTTGTAATGAACATTGTTTGGCATTTGTACTCAAGTATGTGAAAGTTGTAGGTCAATGTGTGTAGAAATGAAGTCAAGAAAAACTAACCCCCCAAAAACAAAATATAGAGATAATTATAATAATTATAATGATTTAGGGAATATATTTAGGGTATATTTTACATAAGTAAAAAAGCCCTAATCTGGTTCCTAATCATCAAAACAACCTAAAGAAACAAGGAAAATAGAATTTGAAATCTGTGAAAAAATCAGTCAAAAAAATTTCAGTCTCAAGTTCTGAGGGTTGTAACCGATTTATTTGTTGACCAATTTAATTCTGGCTTCACATAGTTAGGGACGAGCAGCATTCTCCAGGATGTAAAGGTTAAAACAAACTCAAATAATAAACAAAGAAGGAAAAAAATACAAACTTAAAAAAAAAAAAATTCCCCTAAAAAAAATATTTTTTGGACATTGTTGAAAGTAACTGATGATAACATAGGCCAATGTATTTATATGATATATAACAAAATAGAGCATAACAACATAATTACTCATTATTATTTGTGTTATTATGTATTACTCAGCAATGCTATAAAGGCACCAGCTGTATATCCACTTTGTGGACACTTTTTACTACTATTCTTCTTCTTTGTGTGCGAGACAGGTGCTTATATCTCTTTATTATTGCATTATCCATCAGTTCCAGTTAATAGGAGCTGTTCTCTTTATCGACAAAACTTTTTTTTTTTAAATATTCGTCTAAAACCAATTTCTGAAAATATTTTGATGAAAGTTTCACGAAGCTGAAGCCAATAAGTTGGAGATTTGTTTAACATTTTTAAGTAATTTTTACATAATTTGAATATTTTCCAAATTATACCCCCTTCAATATCACACATCATATGACAGTTTGCGCAGTTTAAGGGTTAATGCGATGGAACCCATTCTCTGGGCAGCTTTAGCAGCTCCATGTTGCAACGGCTCTGATATTTGAGACTTCCATAAAACTACTTAAACCTACAAAACACCAGGATCAGAACCTAGTGTGCTTGTGGGGCCAAGGGAAGTTTGGATTTAGGTCAGGGTGTAGCCGGCCTGGTTCCTTGCTCTCGTGCAATGCCCAAGACACACCTGATCCTCATGGGAAAGAAGAGGAGAGAGCTACTGAGAGCTATGTGGAGAGCTACTGAAGCCATCCAGTAAAAGACATTTCATTACATTCAATGCTTAATTTCTGGGCAAGCTTTCAATAGTTCCCCAGAGTATACCCCCCAACCTGGTGCCTTAAAAGAGGAAACCATCATTGGGCTGAAACAAAATATTAATACCGAGGGAAACGAAGACAAGAGGCTGACCTGTGGTTTGAGATGGCTGAAAAGCCCCAGGACTTGGGAAAGGAAAAACTTAGCAACTGGAAACACACCCAAGAGCTACACAGGGATAAGGAGTATTCGATAGGTATGAGTAGCCAAACATGCTTTTAAACTGCCAGAAACCCTCGAGTCCAAATATTATAGATAAATAGCAAATAAAGCAGCAATAGCCGAGTCACATTAGGCTAGTTAAACCTGAGAGTTGTAACTAAACCAAATGACCAGAGGGATAACCTGAGAAAACCTCATCTTGGAACAATGTACCAACAAAGGTACTGACAGAGCTACAGCTCGGGGAGTGAGAATAGCATGCAAATAATGTCGCACAGCAGCAACAGGACAGAGAGCACAATGTACCCCCCGACTAAACAAACCAAGCACAAACCAACAGAAAATCCAGACAAAAAGCAGGAAACATTTTTAGAAACGGAGAGAACAATCCAAAGGATGAAAGAAATAAAACCCCTTATTGCAGCAAAGAGTGTGAAGTTTAGAAATATGACAAGGCAAACAACAAATGACAGAACATCATATATGATCTTAATTAAGGCTAGCAAGAGAAACAGTAAAGCAATACATGCCCCCAAGCATTTAGCACAATGTATTCCACTGGAAGAACACCAAAGTAATTTCGTTAATTCTTCTCACTTTCAGGTTCAAAATGATTACAATAGTGTAATCCTTTTTGCTCTTTCACAGTATAACACAATGGTATAGAGAATTAATAGCTCAATAAAATTGAGATCATTTCAAACATTTCCTTTGCATTATCAATGAACATATACTCTGTAAACATTCATAAATATAGTCTATAACATATTCAATTACAGATGAAATGCGAAGAAAGTTCACGCATAAAATAATAAATAAACTGTACCTCTATTTTCTTACCTGAAAGGATAAACATTGGCAAGTGCATTACAATGAAGAAGCTATTAATTATGCCACCCATTTTGTTACAAAAAATACTCTGCACATTATTGCCAAAAACTGAGCAATGCAACTATTTGAATCAGCTTTCAACCCCCTCTTCCTCCCCCCCAAACAAAAATTCTTATTAACTGAATATATAAGTGCCCTATGAAAAAGCCCTCAGAGTAAAAGAAGAGATGGTAACATCTACTCACAATGAAAAAAGGTGTAGAAGTGAGTGCCAGGATGAGGGCAGATGAGGGAGGTATGGGGGAGGGGGATAAGAAGTATGATTGGCTGGGGACAAAGGGTGGGAGGAGCCTACTAAATCGGGCCACTACAATATACTTGAGCATTACAGAATACTTCACCAACCATCCAATATATATGTTCTGAGCAAGGGAAGAACTGCATAATTCTAGCTTTTCAAAAGTACTGTACTGTAATGGAATTATTGCAATGACACTTTACAAGTCACTTACGCAGATATACTAGGCACACAAATGGTTTACAAATAATTTATTGAAATAAGAATCCATTGCTATTACATACTTAGAGCATACACATATTTAAATTTAAAAATAATCTGTACTTTATGGATGATAATATGTAGGCTACTCATTGCATTATTCAAAATTCATATAAAGGTGAACAAATCCATGTAGTAACTTACAGCACTTAATAATCTGCACCACTTCCTTATGGTTGATTTGCGACACTATTGTCCCATTAACTTTGATGATTGAATCCCCCTTCTTAACTCCTGCTTGTGCTGCTGGTCCACCTAGAAGTATATACAGCATATTACAACTATGACACAAAGAGCACATTCATATACATGATATACTGCACTGTATAAAGGACCTTTAATTTTTAAACTTTATAATGCAGTACCTAAAAGTAACAGAGTTGTAAAGGTATTATTATCCACTATGACACAACCAGTAATATGTCATATGACCAAGCGGGTTAAGGTAAGGAACCTAACAGCTGACCAAGTAAACCTGTCATCGGTATCCTGGCCCTAACACAAACAACTATGCTTTAGTAAGAGACTAACACAATATTTAACAAGAGGCTGAGGACAAACAGAAGGAATTAAGATGAAGACATAGTAACAGGCAGAGGATGTAAGAGGAATGAGGAGGAGGAAGAAGGAATAAGGAAACAAAAGAAGAGGTAGTGGGGGAAAAGGAAGAACAAGGAAGAGGTAGAATATGAAGGGAAGAACAAAAGGAGAAGAGGGGGAAGGAGGCAGTATAGTACAGTAATATTAGATACTCAAATGTATTTTAGGTAGGAAAAATTAATATCAAAGGTAGAAACAAGACAGTGTTCGACAGAACAGATCAATGACCTTATAACAACAACTACTGTACTTGGATTAACACAAAACACTTCTAGAGCAGGTCAGTGTGCTATTTATTGTGCAATGTATCTGCTTTAAAAGGCTGTGCAAGACTTTACAATAAAAAACGTATTATGAAATATAACTTTGCACCAGCTCCAGCTCACAGACGGAGCACCCATTCTGCAAGATAAAAAGCAGTTCACAAGTTAGAAAATGTAGCATAGTCTCCTTGCACAATGTTGTTAATGTGGTCCTCAGGTGACAGTTTTCTATCTAGATCCACCCCTCAATCCCTTTCTTTTTCAGAATTCTTTACTAAACACAGAAGCCGAAGAAATATAAGAAAATTCACTTTCGCAAACAGAGTGGTAGACGGTTGGAACAAGTTAGGTGAGAAGAAGGTGGAGGCCAAGACCGTCAATAGTTTCAAAGCGGTATATGACAGAGTGCTGGGAAGATGGGACACCACGAGCGGAGCTCTCATCCTGTAACTACACTTAGGTAATTACATACACAGGCAGTGATGTGGTGGAGGCAAACTACATACATAGTTTCAAATGTAGATTTGATAAGAGCCCAATATGCTCCAGAATCTGTACAACAGTCGAGAGGCAGGACCAAAGAGCCAAACTCAACCCCGACAAGCACAACTAGGTGAGTGTACACATACACTATAAAGCAAACAAATTAAAAAAAAAAAAAAAAAAATTATGCAGGGATATTCATGTGTGGGCCCTAAGCCTCTGGTTGGTCCACTAAACTGTAGATCTTTAAAATTTACATAACCTAAGAACATTAACATTACTGTACATGAGCTTGGCAAGGCCAGTTTTGACTGTCAGCGGCTTAATCATTACTGGTTGAAGGCTATTGGCTTTTTGGTGAGGCTTCACTTGTTGAAGGTCCTTGGATTGCTTGTGAGGCTTCAGCGGTTGAAGTGCCTTGGCTTGTTCTTTTTAATGAAAAAGTATCAAGTTTTGCTTGCCTCCTGTGCCTCTTGTGAGAAAGTCTTTGGATCGCCTCAAGTTCTGATACATGTTTCCAACTTCTGGATTAGCACAATTTGCTCATGTCTTTATCAGAAGACATGAGCAAACTGTATTTAGTTGTCTGTACTGTTGATTCCACATTGCCATCTTTATCATCCTTTACTTCACCGACCTCACCAGTAATGGGCTGCAGAATCTCTTCTTCGCTCATCACATCACATCACATCCTTGATCATCAGTATCTCTCTGTAGCCATTCACCCGCATCCTGTCTTTCTAGGTTTTCACCAGCAGTTCTGAACATTCCTATGGATTTCATCTGTAAATCCTTGAAAATTCATTTCTTCTTCTTCCTCTTTATTGACTGTAGCCATGAGGATTTTCTTCCAGGAATTCTTCAAAGTCGATTCCTTCACTCCACACTTTGGCCCAGTTACAAATTGCTTCTTTGATCGAATAATTTTTAAAGTTTCAAGGCTTTTTCTAGTCCTGGTATCCATGCCAGTACTGTATATATAAAAAAAATACTAAAAAATGTTAGTAGGAAACTACGTTTTCAACCTTTATTTGTTGAACAGTATTACATAATATTTTTTTAGTTCTTACTGTAATGAATTATTTAAATATAATTTTTTGTTTTACAATTATCATAGGCCCTTCCATATGCCTATCATGTCCTCAACAGTTCCTCCTGACTATCCCCCGACAAACCCCTACCCCAACACCAACCAGCCCAACACCACCTTTACCACATTCCTTTAGCCACTGCTTTATGGGATTAATATGGTATGGCCCGATGCTCTCAATTATCTGGCAAAATCCCAGTTTTTTTGGATTTCTGTCTGGATATAGTAGAGTTTAGCACAAAGATAGCCGGATGCAATTTTGGCTGGATAACCAAAATATCCAGTTCAGTGGGCTTTGGATAACCGAGCTCATACTGAATTCAACAAATATACAAGTATTGTAGTAAATGTTCCCCGCAAGACAGAAAAGTACCATGATAGTGTCCAACATTTACCCAGAAGTGTCCAACACTTATCTAAATAACTTGGACTCGAAGAGATGGCAGGAATGAGGAGTGTAACTGATATCAATAACATGCATGCCAGGCAAAATGACTAAGGTTCAAGGCTCGGAAATTGAAGAGGAAGGTGCACATTTCCCCTGGCATTTGCATAAATGAAACTAACAAGAGAACTGCTTCACAACTGGGAGTTTTGTGCATCTTGGGGCTTTGTTGTTTCATTTCCAATGCTTTGTTTACCATGCTATTCGTATGTTTTGGTTTGCCAACCTATCTAATGGCTTGAGGTTATCTTGAGATGATTTCGGAGCTATTTAGTGTCCCCGCGGCCCGGTCCTCGACCAGGCCTCCACCCCCAGGAAGCAGCCCGTGACAGCTGACTAACACCCAGGTACCTATTTTACTGCTAGGTAACAGGGGCATAGGGTGAAAGAAACTGCCCATTGTTTCTCGCCGGTGCCTGGGATCGAACCCAGGACCACAGGATCACAAGTCCAGCGTGCTGTCCGCTCGACCGACCGGCTCCCCTTTCTTGGCCTTTTCTTGGTTAGGGTGATCTTGGATGCCCTGCTTCTCGTAGCTCTTTAGTGTGTGTTTTGGCCTCCAGTCCCTGGTAGGCTTACAATGAATCACAAGGGCCTGGAGAAGATTAAATTGGGTGGACTCGTCCTGGTATCTAGCACCAAAGAGCTACTGTACTATAGACCTTTCAGAAAAAAGCGTTTCATTACATCCATTGCAATTCAATACATCCAATGGTTTTATCATTAAGTGGAAGTCAGAATTTAGGTTAGTAGAGTTGCCAAATCTTTTTCTGAAAACGGTTATGAAACTATCTTCTTACTAATCAAAACAGGTTTCTATGATATTTAATTGGAAATACTGTATTGACCATAAATAGTACTGTAGTTCTGGCTTTGGAAAGTCAACAGGCCTGGTTTGAAAAACATTTTATGCCTAATTTTTATTGTGTGAAGAGTATCACTCAGTAAGACTTGAATAGTGACCCCCTCTCTCCCATATTTCCATAAAAAAAAAAAAAAAATTGACTGATCGTGCTATGAACCAGGAGGCCTGAACAACTAGTTCTGCAGGGATTGTAAAGCTATTCTAAAGAGTTCAACTCTGAAGAACTAACAGTAAAATTTACATGTTGTATTCTTACCATCTTTGACATCCTGGACAATGACAGGACTTTCTCCAGAGACAGTGACTCCATAGCCCCGCTCTCCTCGATGGATGACCACAGTGCGTAAGTTACTGGAGTCGTTAGAGTCATTGCCCTCCACTATCGACTCCAGCCTAAAAATAAACAGGGAGTCAGAATAAAGAAAATAATAAGTATAAAAACCATAAAACATGCAATATATTATCTAATCAATTAACAGGATAAAATGCATTAAAGATTGTCATTTATTTTTTCCTTATCAAAGTAGCTGAATATAAACACAGACATAATATAAACTAGCAGTAAAAAGCATAATTTCATTTCTATTCATCATACAATATTCTTAAAATTGAACATCTACTATACAATCAGTCTAGAACCATACTTATTACTACCTTTCATTTAAAGATCTTTTTGTCAAAGAACAAACTTAAAAGTAAAGATACTACTATATTAACTATAAAATGACTTACACAACCCCATCAAATAATATACACATGGAAAGTACTAGAGGGCCAGGTCCCAAATCTACACAGTAAAATAACAACATACTGGAAAGAATGATGTGGAAGAAAATGCAGAATAGAACCAGTGAAGAGCAGGGGAGCCAGAAGCACAATCAGAGATAACTGTATAAACATCAGAGGTCCACAGTTGTTCAACATCCTCCCACATGTTAGAACCAAACAATATTCCACACGAAATGGCACCAATAATTTGAAGAGACCATCATTGGTGTGACATTCCTTGTTTTGTAGGTTCTCCTTATCACCTTTAGACCACTAAGGCTCACCACAGTCTGTGCTGCTTGGAACTTTTTGTTCCAGGTAGCGAATCTTAAACAACAACAACCACCTTATCACCCCCAATCATTTTCCTGGTTATTGCAATGTTTGTTTTTTTAATCTCTAAACATTAGGACTTCTAACATTATTATAAAAAAGCTCCGACATTGTCACTCCTTTCAATGACATTGACTGCATCTTATATCCTGTACTCAATGTAAGTTTTAGTTTTCTCATACCTCAGTACAGTGGAACCTCAATTGACGAATGCCCTTCTTTCCGAATTTTTCAGTTTTCAAGCTCAATTTCTTTGTAAAAATCGACTTGATATTCGAGGTTTGCCTCACTTCTAGAGTTTGTTGATACACGTATGGGTCAACAGTGTGTGTCCTGCCTAGTGACGATTGTGCTGGAATTCTTTGTGAAGAATTTCATTGTTTTTGTGCTTTTTTTGGTTTCTGAACATAAAAGTAATTATATATAATAAATCATGCCATGGGTCCCAAGAAACTCAGTGGTAAAGTTCAACCTAAGAAAATAGTTGAGAGGATGACGATAGAGGTAAAACAAGAGATCGTTCAGTGAATGAATGTGATGTCTCGCTACAGACAAGTGTTAAGGCGTAGGGAAAAACAAGTGCCTTTAGACAGATTCTTAGTAAGACAAGCAAGCAGTGAGCCACAACCAGGTCCTAGTGGTATGCCTGTAAAACGTAGGAGAAAGTATCCCAGAAATATCATCACTGCCTACTGTTATAATAGAAAGGGACTCCCCCTTCCAAACACTTAACACCTCTCCTCCTCCCCCACCTCCTCACAGTTTTCCATATGCCAACAACAGTCCTCAATAAAGGTAAGATATACTTGTACATACTGTAGTACAAAATATAAGTAGTATTATGTATAAAATGTATTTTTAAGTTAATATTTTTGCATGTGTGGAATGGATTAATTCAATTTACATTATTTATAATGGGAAAATTCGTTTCGGTTTTCAAATTTACAGTTGTTGAACCGTCTCCTGGAATTGATTAAACTTGTAAACGAAGGTATCAAATTCTAATTACATACAGTAATTAGAATTTCTCACAGTTGACCATCACATTAATTTCCAATGCCCACTGGAGGACACTTAATATCCAAGTGTAATCTTACTGCATATTCACCATGGAAATTTCCTTGGGGAAGGAAATTGGGGGGGGGGGGAATCCTTCAGGGGTGGGAACCGAGACCCAATCCTTCAGGGGGTGGGAACTCGAGAACCAATCCTTCAGGGGGTGGGAACTCGAGAACCAATCCTTCAGGGGGGGTGGGAACCGAGACCCAATCCTTCAGGGGGGTGGGAACCGACACCCAATCTTTCAGGGGGTGGGAACCCGACACCCAATCCTTCAGGGGGTGGGAACCGAGACCCAATCCTTCAGGGGGGTGGGAACCGACACCCAATCCTTCAGGGGGGTGGGAACCGACACCCAATCCTTCAGGGGGGTGGGAACCGACACCCAATCCTTCAGGGGGGTGGGAACCGACACCCAATCCTTCAGGGGGGGGGGGGGGAACCGACACCCAATCCTTCAGGGGGGGTGGGAACCGACACCCAATCCATCAGGGGGGTGGGAACCGACACCCAATCCTTCAGGGGGTGGGAACTGACACCCAATCCTTCAGGGGGGGGTGGGAACCGACACCCAATCCTTCAGAGGGGGTGGGAACCGACACCCAATCCTTCAGAGGGGGTGGGAACCGACACCCAATCCTTCAGGGGAGGTGGGAACCGACACCCAATCCTTCAGGGGAGGTGGGAACCGACACCCAATCCTTCAGGGGAAGTGGGAACCGACACCCAATCCTTCAGGGGAGGGGGGGACCGACACCCAATCCTTCAGGGGAGGGGGGGACCGACACCCAATCCTTCAGGGGAGGGGGGGACCGACACCCAATCCTTCAGGGGGGGGGGAACTGACACCCAATCCTTCAGGGGGGGAGAAACTGACACCCAATCCTTCAGGGGGGTGGGAACTGACACCCAATCCTTCAGTGGGGGGTGGGAACCGACACCCAATCCTTCAGGGGGGGTGGGAACTGACACCCAATCCTTCAGGGGGGGTGGGAACGGACACCCAATCCTTCAGGGGGTGGGAACCGACACCCAATCCTTCAGGGGGAGTAGGAACCGACACCCAATCCTTCAGGGGGGTGGGAACCGACACCCAATCCTTCAGGGGGGGCGGGAACCGACACCCAATCCTTCAGGGGGGGCGGGAACCGACACCCAATCCTTCAGGGGGGTGGGAACCGACACCCAATCCTTCAGGGGTGGGAACCGACACCCAATCCTTCAGAGGGTGGGAACCGACACCCAATCCTTCAGAGGGTGGGAACCGACACCCAATCCTTCAGAGGGTGGGAACCGACACCCAATCCTTCAGAGGGGGTTGGAACCGACACCCAAACTTGCATATCAGTTTTCACACTCAACACTGAAAGAAAGTGGAACCCCCCCCACACACTTCTCCATTGGAAACATTTACAAAAGCAATACAATACTCTAGAAAAGCCAACTTTAATCTATAACCATTAGTGTTTGCTATTTCACATAACACTAAAAACAATATAATAGTTTTACTTTCCAGTCTAGTAATATTTGAAACCGTAAAACAATTATAAGGCATTAATAAACAACAGTTAGCTGCTCCCCTAAAGCTCACAGGATGGAGCTACAGATAACCCAATTTGTCCTATGATAATGCTACATGACATATAGAGTAAGATCCAAAGTCACTGGCTTAAACACACTCATTTTAACCATCAATGAATATTCAGATAACTCTAACATTTTGAAGAGTTCCATCCTGAGTAGGTTGACAGTCTACTTACAGCACTTGCTAAAGAAAGAGCTAAGAAATTTCCCGGGCATCATTACATACTGCTACAGCAAGATACAAGACACCATGTTACCGGCTGGTACCTAAGGCTATTGAATACGCTTCTAAACATTGTAAGGCCCATCAAAGGAAGTCCAATGGATAAATTTAGGGGGTAAACTCCTTGTAATTATAGTCAGCAAACCATGTTATCCAATATTTCTGAATTTGTCAACATGGTGGGATGCTATTGTAAGGAAATTTGGTAAATCATTGTTTTATTTTTAAATTACAAGTTGTGCAGTTTTTACTTCATAGGAAAGGAGTTCCAATGACAATGTGTCCTTTTATTTGCATGGTATGTTAGCATAGACTTTGTCTCACCATAGGAATACAGTATCAAGATTTATTTCTAGTGTGATGATCATGGATTCTATTTCATCCATCTATGAAGAGTTTCAAAACAGGATTAGTATTGATGGATAAGGCTTAGCAAGTATAAATAGTACAAACAAGTATACTTGTATATTTAATACAATTTGGGTTTAGTCTGCACATATATTGTCTCAAGACAAAATTTGCAATAGTCGCCATTGCTGATTTTTGCTATGATGGGTTTGAGGCAGTTTGTGGTTAAATCCCATGCACAGATACCATAAGTTAGATAGGGATAAATTAGCGAGTAATATGGTGTGAGAAAAGCACATTGGGAACACAGTATCTGATGTTTTTAAAGTAAACCAACAACTTTGGAGACTTTATGGCTAAGTGCTAAAGTTACACCATCACTAGTGCATCAAACACATTAAGGATGAACGGACAGATGGGTGTAGTACAATCCAGGCACCTAACTGCCAAAATAATCAACGGACAGATTTGAATTCTAATACTGTATAGACTATGCTCTGAAGAAACACAACCTATAGCAGTGTTGTGCTAAGCTATTGATTAAGCCTGCTTAAGACTTAAGCATACCTTAAGCCCACAATTTTGACCATTAACTACTTAACTACGCACAATGCATTAAAGCGCTCAGAGGGCTGTGCATTTTTAATTAGGCCATATTTTAATGTTTTTTAATGCTTTCATCACTCTGTGATTTGAAATTAAAATGGTTGAGTATGTAAACATTTTGACATGAATATTTATAAAAAAAATAAATATGTCCTTAACAACTGCACTATGAAATTTTTGCCAAAAACAAGTGTGCAGTGCAGAGGGTTAAACATAGCTAATATATATCAGATTATTTAATATACTGTACAGTATATATATTTGATATATATATTATATATTAAAGAATATATTTTTTCCATGCACTATACTGTACAAACTGTTTGAGCACCCAGACCTTGGAAATTTAGATTACCTGTACTTTAAGTCTATATGTATGTATGTAGTGGAACCTCAGTTTTCGTATTCCCGTTTTCATATTTTTCAGTTCTCGTACTCAATTTCTTCAAAAAATTCAATTCGGTACTTGTTG